TCTCTCTCTCTCTCTCTCTCTCTCTCTCTCTCTCTCTCTCTCTCTCTCTCTCTCTCTCTCTGTGTGTGTGTGTGTGTGTGTGTGCGCGCACGGTATAGTCATGCCTACACGTGGGAAGTATGGTACATGGGACACTGGGACACTGGGAATCTGGGACCGGACTTGGGTTCTTGAATCTTTTCACCACTGGTGAGATGCCTTAACAGACTAAACTTTCCACTATTACTGGGCGGGCGTATCCTGGCGTGATACTAAGGGAATTTCTGGCATCTACCTATTGGTGCCGTATCTGACTGTGATTAAGGTCACATTCAGTCAAGAATATACCTCGTGCTGCAACTGCAACTCCTGGGAGTACTGACAAAGGGCATACTCCCACAAGGACTTTTGGGCCTCTTTCCACACCACTCGAAGAAACTGTCCTTGAAATTGGTCCTCAACCTTCATTCCTTTTTTTTTTCTTCTTTTTTTTTTCTTTTTGAACACACCGCCTGCAGTGCTAGTGCTGCTGATAAGAGCAGGCATCACTAGCACCCGGGGGAAGGCTCCATCTATTGGTGGGGAGCGTCACCTGCTGGAAAGCGGGTCCAGCGTCCCTTATACAGGATGAAAAAGTCAAAGAGACTTGAGAGGGGCGCCTGCCAGCATTGATTACCCTGGACTCCAGGGGATTGACTGAGCAGGACTTTATGAAAAATTCTTGAGAAAAAGTCTGCCTGCCTGCTCTACTTGTAGTAGCTATCCCACTTACTTGAATCTGCAGACTCGTAAGAATAATCTTTTGAGGAATAGTCTGCTTGTCTGCTCTACTTGTAGTAGCTATCCCACTTGTTTAACTCTGCAGACCTCCAGGGTCTTGCATCCCACTGAGGCAAACTGTATATCCCCTATAGGCCAGGATCAATATGGGGGGGTCACATTAAGAGGCTGGACCACATATGTGGATTACCAGAACTCTAATGATAGGACTTTCAAGAGGGACCTGCACGATTTCCTGTCCAAACACTTTGACCCAGGTCCTCAGGCGACTCTCACAGAAATCGGGGACCAGGCTAAGATGTCCAAACGTGATACTTTTGTAAGGTTTGAGGACAACAAAGAAGCAGGCCTTAGATGGGTCTCGCATGCAGCATTGTTGGATCTCCAGCACTTGAAAATCAAGGCGAATGCGGTATGGTCGATAGGGGAAGTCTCAGCTTTCCTCTGTTCTATCTTACGTGGTGGGTTACTGACAGCCTCTTCTAGTTTGGAAGGGGGTAACTGGGTAAGGCTATAGGTGCTTATACGGTAGGGACCTTAGGGACAGTAGGGATGGAGGCACTGCAGGCTCTTTATGGTAAAAATCCAGGATGGTTGCGTGCTACTCAGAATGCAGACCTGGACCTAAGGTCCCTCAATGTAAATGGCCTTGCTACAGCAGATGTTGTGAAACGTAAGGCCATTATGGAACAATTGAAAGGAGTGGGTGGGAGGTGTTGGCCTGACCTGATCTGTATCCAGGAAACACATCTCTTAAATTCCCCGAAACATAATAGAGCGCACAATCTAGCCTGGCCCTATCAGAAATACCAAGCCTATTCCACAACCAACGGGTCGGCAGGGGTTGCCATTTGGGTGCCACCAGATTCCAGGATAGAAATTGTACATTGTAAAGTCGATCAGGAACAGGGCCGATGGCTGGTTACGTTAGTAATGTTCGAATTGGAATTAATTTGCGTCCTCAATATTTATGGTCCTAATGTATTACAGGAACGTAGAGAATTTTTTCAAAGCACTAGAAACCACATTCCTAATGGTGTTCCAATCATCATAGCAGGTGACTTCAATGCTGCACCTGACAGATGGTTGGCCAGATGGAGAATCCCTTCTCCATGTCCTACATATATAGAGGAGGATGAACAAATTATTCAACATCTTTGTGAATCTGAAAATTTGTTTGACACATATAGGCGTTTTTGCCCACAGGAGATAACATATACGTGCATTAGGAATGATGGCTCTCCCCATCAATCAAGATCAAGGATAGATCTCATTCTCATGTCTAAAGACTTAAACTGTGCTTTAATGGGAGTTAACATTTTTCCCTTAAGTCCGTGGAAAGGAATAGATCATAAAATGTGTGCAGTTTTACTTTCCTTCCGTAAGAAACCGGATCAAGGTAGAGGTTTCTACAAACTCAACTCCTCCCTCCTCAAACGAAAGGATTTCATAACTTTTCTTCAGGATGTATGGAGTTATCGGCATTCTACTAAGGATAGACATGAATCATATATAGCATGGTTCAATAATGGGTTAGTTTATTTGGCTAAAAAGTGTAATGAATACTCTAAGCTAATCGCCAAAGAAAGATATAAGTAGGAAATGAATATTCAAGAGCAAATTCTCAAATACGAGCAACAAGACTGTCCAGAACAAGTATCTCAACCAATTGATATTTTAACACTCAGGAACCAACTACTAACCTTCGTGCAACGTCGTTGGCAAGGTCAGCTGATTCGAGGGAAATTCTTCAAGCATTCTGTGGCTCGCGCCAGAGCTAGAAGAACGACTATTGAAGCTTTAAAGGATCCACAACAGACGTCACAGCAAGAAACTACCACTTCAGCCAGTAGTCTGACGGTGGCATATGACTTCTTCAAAAATCTTTTTATTTCAAGGGTCGACGCGCCGATTGTAGATCAGATCTTACAAGATTTTTTGGCCCCCATGACTCAAGAGTTGTCACAGAGACAAAAGGAAAGATTGGAAGAACCGATCACTAAGGAAGAAATCTGGATTGCGTTGTTGCAGATGGAAGAGGATAAAACTCCGGGGTTCGATGGTCTCCCTAAAGAGTTTTGGGAAACAATGTGGCCATATTTCGCAGATGATTTGATGGAATTTTACAAACAAGTCCAGGAGATGGGAAGTATGGGGGAAATAGTTGGGCAAGGGATTTTAACCTTGTTATACAAAAAGGGAGATAAAACGAATATAAGAAACTATAGACTCATCACCTTACTCACGGTGGTATACACAATGTTGGTCAAAGCCATTGCGAATCGTTTCATTCCAATAATGCCAGACATCATTCATCCCTCCCAAACGGGATTCATTAATGGAAGGAACATACAAGATAACATATTGCTCATCAATGAGATGATTAAGCTGTCTCGACAAAATCACCAAAAAGTTGACTTTGTTTTTATAGATTTTGAGAAAGCTTATGATCATGTGGACTGGAAGTTTTTGGATGCTTGCTTAATTAAGTTAAATTTTGGTCCATCAATTAGTAGGTGGGTTACTATCCTTCATTCCAATGCCACTACTAGGGTTCAGATCAATGGTCTTCTTTCTCCGGAAATCTGACTTCAGAGATCGGTCAGGCAAGGGGATCCATTAGCTCCATTTCTTTTTTTGATTATAATGGAATCATTAGGAGCTAATCTAAGAACTAACCAGAATCTTAAAAGACTTCAGATTACAGGTATTCCTGATGGAGGCATCCAAGGAGAATATGGAAGAAATAAAAGCACTAATGGATAAGTTCTCCCTTCTTTCAGATATGGTGGTCAATTGGGGGAGTAAGACACAGGGATGGTGGATTCACTCTCATGGGGATAGGCCTCTTGAGAATCCAAGGGTAAAATGGTTACCATTAGAGACACCAATCAGGGTTTGGGGAGTTGTACTCACAGTTAGGGGAAAGCCTAATTCTAATGATTTATGGATCACTTCCCCACCTATACAAAAAATGAAGCAATGGAAAAATCAACATACTTCACTGTTTGGTAGGGCTCTGGTTATTAATAATGTAATCTTGGCTTCAATTTGGTACAAGTCTGCTCTGTGGTCAATAAGTAATGGATCGGCCAAGGAACTTAGGAGTCAACTCACGGCCTTCTTGTGGCGTGGAGATCACAAAACGGCACATGTAATCCCTAGAGTGGCTTGGAAGGTTCTTATCCAGCCGAAGTCCAAGGGAGGACTAGGCATTTTGGATCCTTCAATCCAGTGTCAAGCACTAACTCTTCAATGGCTAAAATGACTAATACTGGCCACGGATCTTACATGGCAAGCATTGGCACTGGAACAAATACGCAGAATGGCTCTACAAACTACAAAGGATGTTAATCCACTGATTTGGGTAGAGGACAGATACTGGTCCATTCCTCGACCACAATCACAATCTCAAAAGGAGGGGGATGAGGGGGTAGTAAGAAGGGATCTGGTTTTAGACAGTTTCTGGACTACCCTATTGAGAACTTGGCGTAAACTTCCTTTGCCTAACAAATCACTTGCTTCTAGGTATGAGGAAGTCCTACGAAAACCAATTTTTGGCAATAGATGGATCACGGATGCGCAAGGAAGAGTGTTCATAAGTTCCACATCCCCGTGGTCCACTTGGGTCAAGCATGGTGTAGTAAGGATCAAGGATTTATGGAACCCGAAAAACAAAAATTGAAAATATGTAAATCAATTGAGAAAGGAAATTAAGTACG